CAGAGTCACCCGTTGGGGGAGATGGGCAGCATACAAGTTTAATAATAAATAAATAAATAAAATAAAATGTGGATGAAAACGAATTAAACTATCCATGAGAATCAAGCCCTTCTTAAAAACTTCCAGAAATAGAGATTTCTCCATAGGTAGACTGTTCCACCATCAGATTTTACTGTCTAGAAATGTTCCCTTATATTTATATGAAATCTAGGTTGTTGGTATTACAAACTGAGAATGGCTCTTTTGGTCTTACAAGATAAACAAAGTTCTTTGGGTTCTGAGTTTTGAATCAAACTTGGAACAGAATGCCCTGTGTTCCAGGCCTGAGCTGGCACAAAAGGAATATTTCAATCCATGTAGCTTGAATATTTCAGTCACCTGCAACTGGAGATGAGACAGAGAGAGAGAAAGAGAGAGAGAGAATCTCCAGACCTCACAGATTTTAAATGCATTTTTTAGTAGGATGTAATTGAAGAGAGGAGTGTGTGGGATGAATTAAAGTTGCTTAAGCATATATTAATAGATTGAGAAGAGCCATTTGATACTTACCTTAGATACGTTTACTGCTGCTTTTAACTTCTTATAGGGAAGTGGGAATTCTTGGGTTTTAATGTAATATTGTTTTCTCTAGGTGTATTACAGGTTTGGTCTTTGCTTTTTCAGGCAAAACACCAAATGTAAATATGTGCATACATGTTTGTATGCGTTCTATAATTTTTAATTATTAACACATCATTTTACAATTTTAACACATTATCCACAGGTTATTAACACATTAATAATACTATTACAGTAGTAACACATTACAAGACAACTCCTATTGCAATGGTGTTGAGCTTTCAGACTGGCAAATGCAAAACTTGTCCTTTGTTGATTTGTTAAGCTTTACAGGTTGATAGCCAAATACTAAAAAAAAAAAAAAAATCATGTGTATTGGAAGAAGTCTTCAGCAATATCCATAAAACTTTGTTATTCTGTTGCATTATTCACAGGCTCTGTGAAATTGATCCATTAATGCCGTGCAAATTTCACTAGTAATTTATACAGGCCAAGGCTGCAAAAAAGGATTCTTAACTGTTGTTTCTGTTATTTACAGAGTTAAATTTTATTTTCCTTAATTAAAATAATGTTCCTGGTCATTTTTAAGAGTTAGCTAATATTCACTTTTTGCCCTAGGATGTAAAACAAAGGAGCAAGAGGTTTATTTCAAGTCCTAATTGAAATGGGAAAATTATGAGAAAACATTCAAAACAATTAAAGTTTTATTCCATCTGAGCACAACTCACTCAAAATATTTCTAGTTTGAACTCAGACAATTCTGCCAAAATATTACCCTTTCAAAAATCTTTATAAATTAAGTAGGTTTTCTGGAAAGTTTTTTTAAAATTTTGTTTTCATGTACAATCTGGCCCCAGCATTCCAAGTGAATTGCAGTTGAGAATTTAGAGGCAATGCAACAGCATCTGGGAGTTATTCTGTCCATGACCTGTCTTGTCCACATCTCATTAAAAGATCACTGAGTATTGGCTTCCGGGGGAGTAATGACAGATTGAGGATGTCTCCATTTTCACAGAGCTGATGGACATGGCAGTGAAGAAGAGCCAACGAAAGGTCTGGCTCTTTGGAACAATCTCCAGATAGAGGGGGTGTCTGGA